TCTAATTGGTCACTATTATATTCTACACTTACACTTATAATTATTATTATTTAAGTCTGGGATTCTCTGTATTGCTTCCATTTCTTCCAGTCAGGAAAAATACTACAAATTAGAGGTGAATATCATCCTACTTAGTCTATTCCCTTTTAATTTATAGAACATTAGAGATTTACACTTTGGAGGGAATTCAGGAGACGGTTATAATGTAATATGAAAAAAGCTAATCATGTTATTTCTTCAAAAAATTCTTCATTTCTCATATTCAGAGCTTAACTGTACATCCAAAAGCTTTCTTCAAGAGTAGCGGAAATCTCTCAATACTGCGCATGCAATTTCAACAATTCAACCTCAGTCCTCGCTCAAACAGTAAGCCTGAGCACAGCAGGAACAAGGTCTAAAGTACGTCACCAAATTCAGGCTCACTTTCCACCTGACTGTGGTGAAGAATCGAAACTTGGCACAATTCTTTGCTGTAACCCTCATAAATGTAGGGCTGCTTTAAAAGATGCAGACTATGCTTTCTATATGTGGTTAGCTTCATCCAATCCAATGAAGTAAGACATAGACTTTGTCCAGGAACCACTGCCCGGAGTCTCCTGAGGAGTGAAATCTATTTCCCCTGGGCACTGAAATGCCTCTCTGTGGTCAGGGACGGGGGTCCGCCAAGGCCAGCCCACCCACCACCCTCCGCTGCCCCTCCTTGCCTTCGGCTGACAGCTTTTCGGTCACTTTATCACACACCTCCGTTTCTTCAAAAGAGTGTGAGAAGTCATAAAGAGGAAAATTAAATTCCACTCTGTCAATTTTGTTTCCTAGATCCCAGAGCTGATGAAACAGAGAGAAAGAAATGCCGTCACACGTGAGGTTTCGGAAATGCCTTTAATATGTTCACAGAAGCTCCTCCCGAAACTGTCAGGACAGACAGACTGCAGAATGTTATTAACATGCCTAAGACAAAGGGAGGGGAAAACAGGTCTTTTCCTGGGACAGCCACAAAGACACTACTTTATCTTCAAACTGAGAAAAGAATGTTAAGAATCTGAGACCAAAAATAATTAAATAAAAGGCTGTATCTGTTCCTCTAGAGTAATTATGTGAAGCAAACCTACACCCATGTACTAACTGGTAAAACAGTACAGACTCGACCCACAGAGTCAGCTATACATATAAAGTAAAGCATTACATATACTCAAAAATCCCTATTTCCTCAAACACAAAAATCCACTAAAATCACTTCTGAACATGGTGGTGCACTTATTTGTACAGGGAGCTTCTTGGGTTTTAAATATGACAAAAATAAGATGACAGTGACAAAGAAGACATGCAAGCACTTTGCAGGCGCAGATAACTTTTTTTTTCAGATGCCTTTTTGATGTTCAAGTCATAATTTAATTAGACTTCCAAAAACCCTTGATGGTACAATACATAACATAGGAGGGGGGAGCAGACAGATGGACATGTGGAAAGCAAACAAGCTTTTTAAAAACCTGTAGTTATCAGGTGTTGTTGCTGTTGCTTTTAATTTAAGGTGACAACAAATGTGTCATATGACTGACTGCCTGATATCATGTATTACTGTTAGATTAACTTTAGTTATAAACTTATAAACTTAGAAAAATTTGATTTTTCTGTTTCCCATATCTTTTTCTTTAATGTTTTATTTATTTTTTTGAGAGTGACATAGAGACAGAGCATGAGCAGGGGAGGGGGAGGGCTAGAGAGAGACATACACACAGAATCTGAAACAGGCTCCAGGCTCTGAGCTGTGAGCACAGAGCCCAACGCGGGGCTTGAACCCATGAACCATGAGATCATGACCTGAGCCGAAGTTGGACACCTAACCGACTAAGTCACCCAGGAGCCCCAAGTTTTCTGTTTCCCATTTCTGCTACCAACATTCCATAGTCAGTATAAAAGGAAATAATCTTTCCTAAAGGGGACATTTCAGCAGATTTTGTAAAAAATGTACTCTATGTCAGCACCACAAGAAAAATAATGACATCACTCGCAATTTTGACTCTGAAAATAGGAATCTGTGAAAAAAAATATGAATACTTGGAAGCAGAGCCAGGTTCATCTAAGGAGATAAAGCTAGGAATACAGAAAGAAAATTGCTTATCCCATGATGGGCATGTCACCCAAAGCAAGACTCCCAAAAGGGGCACTGCCCAGGTACCCATGGGGTGTTAGATTCCTCCTGCAGCTGTCTCGAGCAGGGTCAAGAGAAGAGTCGTGAGGACAATAAATACCTGGAAGAGAATACTGCAGCTGGGGAAAAGGAGAATAGAAGAAGAAAGAAATGTCCATCCTCCGGAAAGCAACCTTGTTTCACGTAGGTGCTCTCTCCTCAGTCACTAGAACAATTTTAGGCACCATATCATCTTACCAATATGGTAGCCCTGTTCCTCATAAACGATTACCACTTCCACCTCCAACAAAAATAAGATCACCTTAATTTAAAGGAAAGGGGAGAAAAAAGCAATGAAGCATGGAGTTCTGACCTATGCCTACCAAATGCCCCATGTCCATTGCAAAGGGGGCAAATGGGTGAGGAATGAGTAACCCTGAACAGCGCCATCTATGGACTGAGCAGCCACAGTCTCTGGTCACAGCCCAGCTCTGCAAACATCAACAGTGATGTGGCCTCAGATCCATCCCTAGTACGCTAATCTTCTCCTTGCTGTGTTTGGCCCATTCTTGAACTAATATATTGAATATTTTTTAAAGCTAAATGGCTCTATTTTTATTTCTAGATTATCCTTCCCCAAAGTAGCCTGTGATTTCTTTTTAAACATTTTCATTGTGCCTCACAGATTATACTCGTTTAGTGTTTATTGTCTGTAATTGATTAGTTTGATCTCATTCGTTGTGCCTGCTGACTATACCTGATGACATGGATTTTCAGATATGTTCCTACTATTCATCTGTGAGTCTGTAATAATACAGAATCTGTTCTCCCCTTGGAGGTCCCCTGGAGTTCTCAGGTCGTAGAGGTATCCCTGATGGGGTTCTGTATATTCACTGATTTGCAAACAAAAGTTCATGTTAGTTCCTGAGCTTGGGGCTTCGATAAGATGAAAATTTTGCTCACCAAACATGAAAGGACAATGTCGGGGTCCAATTTCCAACATGGACTGAGTTAAGGATTTTTCCACTGGGTCTTCCCTGCCCAGGTCTAAGCCCATTTCCTAAATCTGAAGCCTCCACTGAAAATTCTAGACCCTAAAGCACACATCTGCTCAAGTCCTCCCCTTGCAGTTCAGTGCTGTGGCCCTTCATTCGTGGCACCTAAGATACCCTTTTCTCAAGTCTGACCTTGAGAACATATTTTTAAAAATCTTTTGAATATTAACAATTTCATACATTTTTCAACTTACTTTGCTTTCAGAGTGGAGAAGGCTACTCCCATCAACTGGCTCTGCCATTTTTAAGAAAGATAAGCCTCTCAACTGACCTCAACACTCTCTTTTATAATCTTATTATGAAACTTACTGAGCATCAACCTTTTATAAAGATCAGTATTTGGTTCTGTATATACTTTGCAGCACAAAGCATAAACCACATTTTCTGCCCTCTAAGAACTTACAGTCGAAACTGAAAGATAAGACAGCCACACATAGAATAAATCAGTATCAAGCAAACAACTCAATCCCCAAGGGTTAGGAAGGTAAGAAAAATTGCTTCTAAACCTGCTGTCAAAAGGAGTCTTTCAATTCTCAAAACTCTTTGAACTTTAACAGTTTTTAGGAAAGTTTTTATCTCAATCGTACCAAGATTGAAGTGAAAGAAACAGAGACGCAAGTAGCTCAGGCTATTGAGGGGGTTCAGAAATCTTATGAGAAACTGAATGGGTCGGTAGCATTCATCCTGGAAAGAAATGAGCAGAAACTGAAGGAAAAAATGGCGAGCCTTGTGTATTTGGACAGAGTGAGTTCGACAGTGAAATCAGAGAGAAGGAGGTCAGTTTTAGAGATGTTAAGTTTATAAAAAAGTGACACCCACGGATAAATGTTAAGAACAAAGCTGGATGTGGAGGATGGTGTCAGATTTGGAGATGTGCTTCCGCAAGTCATCTTCAGAGAAATGTTGGTGAAGGCGGAGTCGGGAATGGCAGTGCCTGAGAACAGAAGATAATAAACATGGAGGGCGATTTCCAGTGTTTCTGTCACTCTGAACATAAATAAAACCAATCAGAGAAATAACCACACTCTAATATATTTTCCATTTGCTCAATATAAAATTGCACCCTTAAAAAAGTAGAGATGGCCCATTTACAAATGTTAAAGCACCAAAGACAGAAATGCTGGGAGCTGGATGTCATTACACGCTCAGTGTATAAAGAACATGGGAATTATCCCAAAGCACATCTGTATTTAAATGAAGATAATGTGACTGAAAAGGATTTACTGGAAGTGAGATTAAATCTGCTGACAGAGACTGAAAGAGACAGTCAGTTCCTTAAGGGAAGAAAGTGATCTAAAATAAAAGCATGATTTTATTTCATTTTTGTATGAAGTTTAATTAAATACTTCCATTTTCAAAGTCAGGCAAATGATGTCAATTACCAAAAGCCTTCGTGCTGATTTTAAATGATAATTTCTCAGAACACAGACATGTACATCTTAGGATCTCAAATTCAGGTCCATCTATAGAGAGCAATCACACACTAGCAAAATAATAATAGATTTTGGATCCATACTGAAGATAACATGTGACAAAGATATTTAGACCAGGCACCCCTCTGAACAGTTTTAATAGAAATTCATTTACAAAGCTCAGCACAACTCTCAAAACATACTGTCACCTTCAGAAGCAAACTTTCTAAATATCATTGTCTAAATATCAGAGAAGATAATTAATTGTTTCTCTGGTCTGCTTAGTTCATATTTCCCATCTTCCTAGCCAAGGTGATTAGTTCAGGAATGAGCATGGAACTCAAAGTGGTTCCGGGAGACTCAATTCTAGAACTCCACTTGAACCCCTGAATGAGATTCAATGAGAGCTCCAGGTTGTAACATCACTGAATCAGTCACCAAGCACCAAGAGTGGTCCAAGTGACTGATTCAGTGGTGTTACAACCTGGAGCTCTCATTAGACTTCTGGTCTCCACAAGGGAAGAGCCTACTCTGACCAATGAGGATACCAACACAGAGGTGAGCAGGGATGGTGTTATTTGAGCTCCTTGACCCAGCTACGCCTAAATGAGTATCTTTGGAAATTTCACTTACTTAAGCCAGTAATCTCCCTATGTAGTTGGGGTCCACCTGTGTTGAATATTCACTAGATGAAAAAGTCCTAATCCCAATATCAATCAGTGTTTTGAAGAGCCTGTCACCTTATCTTTTCAGAACTGCACTTTCAGTGTTCTGATAATATACATTTTTTCTACTATTTCAGATTTCACATTAAGCCTTGATAATTCTAAATTAGTTTCATTTGATAGTCCATGAAGTAGGCATGTGTTCTGGGTTAAGAGGATCCATGTGTAGACAAGTTTTCAATCACTCAAATATGATTATTTCACTCTTAAATGGTTCCTCATTTTACTTAGACTGAAATTCAATTATGTTTTCATGATTTTCTCCTCCAGTCCTTTCTCTTGTTATTTTCTCCTCCATGGAGGTAAGTAAGCTTTTAGTCATTCTGAATTTCTTTCAGCTCTTCAAATATGCTCCATTCTTTTCTTTGCTATAACAGGCAGAAAAATACCTTCCCCTCACCTCCAATAATGTCCATGCCCTAATGCCCAGAACTCCTAATCCCCTAAACCCCTAATTCCCAGACTGTGGGAATATTTAAATTACATGGAAAGGGGGAACTGAGGTTGCAGATGGAATTTAGGTTGCTAATAAACTGGCCTTGACATGGGGAGATGATCCTGGATGACTGTAAGGGCCCAAGGTAATCACAAGAGTCGTTACAAGTGGCAGAGACAGACAGAAGTCAGAGTCGGGTGTGCAAAAATGCCAGGCTGCTAACTTTGAAGACGGAGGAAGACACACAAGCCAAAACAAGTAGGCAGCCTTGAGAGGCTAGAAGAAGCAAGAAACAGATTCTCCTCTAGAGCCTCCGGAAGGAACACAGTGCTGCTGACCCTTGACTTGATCCCAATGAGATCCATTCCCGGACTTCTGACCTCCAGAACTGGAAGATAAATTTTCCTTTTTTAATTTACAGAATGTGTGGTAATTTGTTACAGCAACACAGGAAACTAATTTATCTGTGTAGAACATTCTTCCTTCCCACACCCTCTCACCGTAAATCTTTACCACCCTTCCAGTCTCCAATCAGACATCCCTTCCTTTCTGAAGCACTATATAAACAACCCAATATTAGGCACCCTTCTTCTGTGCCTCCATAATACCTGGTATTCTTGGCACTGGTTTTCCATAATTCTGTCTGCCATTAAACAACTGGAATTACCTCCATACCTGTCTATATCCCTCAGTAAATTATAACTTCCTTGAAGGTTTGTTTACTCTTGAATATTCACTGCCTAGCAGGGTGCCTGATACATAATCGTTTTTCAGTAATTATTTGAGCACATGATGCAATCAAGGAATGAATCAATGAAGAGATGTAGTGGTTTTGCTAGAATTCAAATAGACCAGCTTTCTTATTACAGGCAGAATTCAATTTACTGGGAGGTTGGGTTTAAAAGTGACATCAATGGTGACCAAGTACTCAGATTAGTCCACAAATCTTTTCAAATTGTAATACGTTAAATACTGTACATCTGTGATAACAGCAGTGGGCTGTTCTATACAAACACCAGAAAACTAGGCAAAAATGATACACTCTGATGCTACTGCTAAAGAATAGATGGTGCTCTGCTGCACCAAGTCTGTCCCTTGGTCCCTATCTTCGCAGTGGAAATCCTCACTGACCAACGCTATGTCCAATCTTTGTATTTTCAAATACTCACCCAGGTGACATGAGCTCATCTCCACTGTCCCCATGCCCTTTGAAAATTCTGAAATTATTTTACTGGGTGAATAATGCAATTCCCTAACCCAGTGGCCCTAAGGACAGAGAGAGCACACTTATTCCTTTTTTCGGGTGACACCATGAGGAAGCAGCAGGATCCCAAGTAAGTACCGTGAGAAAAAGAAATGGGTGACCAGCAAAGGCCGCCCACTGCAAAGATCCTCAGGAAACAAGGCCAAAAAATGAGGCTTCAAAGCTGCCTAAAGCTGGAGAAGGTAGAAGAAAGTCTCAGAAAGATGAGAGTGGGAGAAATTAAAAGTTTTTCTGCCCAAAGGTCACCAAATTTAAGAAAAGAAAAGAAATGATATTTCTAAATGTGTGTCCTCTACTGCACAGTTCCACAGTTACCATTAGCCACATCTGGCTATCTAAATTTAAATTTTAATTAATGAAAAATCAATTAGTTCTCCAGTTGCACTAGCCAGATCTGAAGTTCTCTAGTGGCTAGATAGAAAGCAATTCCACCATCAGAGAAAGTTCTATTGGACAATGCCACATAAACGTGGCATATGACCTCGGGTTCACACGCTTATAGAATGTGACCGCTAGCATTTGGGGGGCAGGGATAATTAATGCGTTCATTCCAGGGTTTAAGTAGCTTATCATCATACTAACAAGATGCACAATTAATTTTAAGGGTCTGGGGTAACTGGAATGAATTTATGATTGGGATCACATTAGCCTCATATTGGTAAGAAGCACAAATCCAAATATCCCATACTCCTTAAAAGATTTGGGGCAGGGTACCATCATCCCACATTCACAGATACTTCCATGGAATGTTCCCTAATCACAGATGAGGATGGTGTGACGGGAGTCACCGCAAACACCGCTGATTTAATCATGGGTTAATAAAGATGCATTTCAATCGTTCCTTTTTAAGATCAGGAACAAGATAAGGATGCTATGTATAGAGAAAATCCAAAACAATATATAGAAAAGCTTCTAGAATTAATAAGTAAATTAAATCAAGTCTATATAGATTAAACAAGACAGCAAAATAAATAAATGTTTTTAAAGATAATATAGAATATATTGTAGACCTTGTTATACAGAAGGATTTCTTAAATAGTACACAAAATGTCTTTTCCTTATGAAAGAAAAAATGACTAAGTTTCACTAAGGAAAGTCTTCTATTCACTAAAGGACATTGTGAAGAGAGTGAAAAGCCACAGAATGAGAGAAGATGGTGAACACACAACAAAGGATTTATAGAGAATATTTAAGAAACTATTACATACCAGTGAGCTTCACAAAAGAGAAACTCGAAATGGCTGCAAGTATAAAATTGTGAATGTAACTGGTAATAAGGGAAATACAATTTTAACCACAGTAAAATTCTGCTGCATACCTAGCATTTGGGTAACTTAGGTTGACAATTTAAATGGACAATGTCCACCATGAGAAAGATGTGGCACAAGAGGAACTCTCATACATTGTTACTGAGAAGGCATATTCATACAGCCATGCTGGAAAAAGTCTGTCAGTCATGAAAATCAAGTAGAAGTCACATATCCTGTATGCTTAATTCCAATCTCCGTGTGATTGTGTTCATTAGGATATATACACAAGAATATTCACGGCAGCACTGTTCCATGGCATCCTGAAAACAGAAACAACTCAAAGGTCCAGAAGGAGTAAAACAGACAAGGAGAATGAGGTATAGTCATACATTACGCAGTGTAAGTGAATTAACACAGTTACACACAATGATCATGGATTTTGAACAATACTGACAAAAAGAATGAAGATGCAAGCTAATATAGAGAATATGATTCCATTTTGACAAACTTCAAAAGCTGGCAAAACTAAAATTGGGTATGGGATATGAATAGTGTTAAAATTATTTTTATAAAAGCAATAAAGTTATTAATATAAAACATAAGGTATTGGTTATGCATGGGGGGGAGCCCTATGGTAGGGAAGGCGTAAATGGGGGCTTCTTCAATATGGAAAATGTTCTGCTTCTTGACCAGGGTGATGGTTAAGCAGATGTCAATACCAAGAATATTTAACTGTATATTCATATTTTGCTCACTTTACTGTATGTGTGTATAGTATGGTATGTTATAGGTCACAATAGAAATGGTTTACAAAAACCAAAATTTCAACGAAGCACATAGATATGGAACATCCAACACCCAGCCACCTCAAATACTGCATACTTTTCCTCGAATTTCCTTAGAAATTTGAAGTAGTTAAAATACACATGAAATAACCATGAACGATCAACATGGTCAAAAACTGTGTGAAGTGCAGGTGTTTAGAAAGGCAAAGCACAGGCACAGACTATGAAGCTAGGGAAAGCCTGAAATATGTCTGATCTTATTAATGATTGCCAAATATTATAGAATGAAAATTATTCATGTTAGAAAATCACAATTTAAATTAGTCTAAGAGAGGCATGGTTAGAATTTCTTCTATACCCAGATATATAGAGGGTCTGAGAACAATTATTATAAGCTCAAAGACAAATAATGGACATAAGCAGTTCTAGACTAAAACTGATGATTTCATCTTAAATATGTCTCCGAAAAGATGTTGTATTCTCCATCACAATAACGTAAAGGGATCATTTAATAGGTTTGTAGGCTAATCTTTCTTTTAATTCAATCATTTTGCCAAGTTTAGGACGATGGCCCAAGGCATATATTTAGACGCTCTTTTTTTACCACTACAAGAACAGGTAACATGACCACTGAAATCACTACACCACATATCTGCAGAATGAAAGAGCTTTGAAGTATCTCGTCTAACTCTTTTATTTTACTGCTTCGTTGAGTTGTCTGCCCTTTTCTGGGAATTACATTAGTTGAGCTAATCTATAGAGCTCTCTTAAAAACATTTTTAAAAATTCAAACACTGATTTTGCCACAACTGCACTCCGCGACTGTAGACCAAAGGATTCAATACTAATGCACTTGCAATATTTTCATTTTCAAAACTGTATGGGCAATGAATGTTTGTCTAATCTAATTGATTAAAAGAATATTAATATACTTTGGTTAGGTTTTTGAAATACTAAGAAGTCTTATACTAATCATTCTAGTGCTGATTAAGGCAACAGATAACCCATTATTTCTCATTTAAGTCAACTGTTCACACAAATCAGAAAAAAGGACCTATGGAACGGTCATTAAGAAAACTCAAACTATCTACCTTAGCTGTCACTGTCAATACCCTAGTTATATCCTTATAGACGCTGTCTTTGGTCCTATCATTTTACAGAATGCAATCTCACCCTATAATTTTGTAATCTGATTTTTCCCTTAGTTAACATTATATGCAGTTTTAATGCCAATAAATGAATATCTACAGCCACATTCTAATACAGGAATGCCATATACAGAGTACAGCCAACCCGAGGTTGCTAGACATTACGATTTCTTTTTTTTTTTATATCATTGGGGCTCAGGTGATAAACGTTGACTCTTGGTTTTGGCTCAGATCATGATCTCATTGTTTTGTAGGTTTAAGCCCCGCATCAGGCTCCATGCTGACAGTGCAGAGCCTGTTTGGGATATTCATTTTCTCTCTCTCTCTCTCTCTCTCCCCTCCACTAGTGCTGTCTCTGTCTCTCTCAAAATAAATAAACTTTTAAAAAAAAGATTTTTTAAAATATCACAATCACATAATACACACACACACACACACACACACACACACAACAGAGAACAGGTTTAACCATTTGAAGACTAATTTAAATTTTGTTTCAAAAGTAGTATTATCTATTTGTGTAAAGTGTCCATAATAGGCAAATCCTTAGGGACAGAAGGAAATTAGAGGTTTCCAGAGGTAGGGGGGTGGGGGGGGGATGTGGAGGGAGGATGGAAAGTGACAATAAAGTGTTTCCATCTTAGGTGATGAGAATGTTCTGGAACTAGAGAGTTATGATGGTTGCACAACACTGTGAATATATTTTACCACAACAAAAATAAAAACAAAAAATACTAGAACTTAACCATAAGCGAGGAAGCTCTTTAAATATGACTAATAAAACAAAATAGTGCCAAATGTTCTATGGTTCATTCACATTCCACTAATTTTTTAAATCAAACCTCAAAATGGGTACTTGAGATATTCATTTTTAACACTTTGTTTTCTTGAGCAGGAGGTGTTTTCAGTAAATTTACTAGAGATTGGCAAAATCAGGCCATGAACATAAATGCAATATTGAACATCTTGAGTCTGAAGTATCTATCTAGAAGTCTTTATCTATCTAGAAGGCTACTAAAAATAGAGGTCTGATTGCAAAGAAAAATATACCCTAAATATTTATAACTAGAAGCCAAAAGCCTATTGGTGATAAAACAATAAAATATTTATGAAACGTTATTTCATAAATTCATACTAACAAAAAGTATCAAAATTATTATGAATAAATGGTAGAAAAAATGAACTGTTAAAATGCATATTGATTGCCTGGGCTTAGAGAAGCATATTTTAGCCTACTGAGAAGATTAATAAAGATGTTTCTGGGTTCTAATTCATCCCTAATCACTGAAATATTCTGAGGTGATTTTTTAAATAATTAGTATTTTTAATTGTGATAAATTACACATACATGAAATTTATTACTACCTTAACCATTTTTAAGTGTACAGTTCAGTGGTATTAAATGTATCCACATTGTTGTGCAATTTTTTTTTTTTTTTTAAAACTATCAACCTGCATGGGTAGTTTCTTTGCCCTTTCATGCTACGATAGCACATCGCAAACTCACACACTTCTGTCACTCAAGAGAGTTCTAAGTCTAGGGTAACTATAACCAGCAGACAGTAGGAGGAGTCTAATTCAAATCTAAAATTGAATGGGGGTGTCTCCTTCTGCTTCGGTAAAAGGAGCATAGGACATTTGAAGGCAAGGCAAGTATCAATGTCAAAATCAAATCCCAGAGGCAGTGCTAAGATTCCTCAGTGTGAAGGAGTGGTCAGTGGCAGCTATAGTGACAAGAGCAATACATCTTGAACTTGAGATTAGCAACTTCCAAGTCTGTGGCTAAAGAACGCACTGGACTGCCAAGAATACTACTGAAGCCACCAGGTCCATTCCAGGAAACAAGCAGGCTTCTGGGACCAAGAGAAAGCTCACTTCTGGGGGCTTGGTTCCCGGGGATTCTCCTGCTCCTGAGATCACATGCGCTCTCTTTGGCAGTGTTCCCACAGATGGGGAGGCCAGCGGAAGTAGGGTTATGCTCAATTAAGTACTTTCCAAAGTACCAGACAATAGCCTAAAAACCTACAATAGTTCACGGGCATCTAAGGAGCTGTTGAGCCACAGCACTCAATCTGCAGAATTAATTCTTCTCAGTGCTATCATCTTCAATTACAGAGGGCCACTGCATGCTAAACAAACAAACCTAAAGGCTGAAGATGGGGCTGCTCTGAGTGGGAACACACCCTGGGTCTTAAGGAGAAAGCACTACACATAAGAGAGAAAGAGGAGCAGTACCCCAGAAATCTTGGCAGAAAGCAGCAGAAGCACACAAGACAGGGAGCAATCATCAGAGGCACATCAGGGGAAGAGCGTGTCTTGAGCAGCAAAGATGTTGGGGACAAGCAAGGCCAGGCACCTGCAAGTAGTTCAGGACAACAAAGTGGGCAAGGAGGGCAGAGGCCATCACTGATTTTAAAGTCCACACCCAACACTCTGGTAGAATAGAAGGCACTTCCATCTTCTTTTCAGAGAACCTAGAACCCTAGTGACTCCACAAAAAAAGGACAGAGATGAGCGGTGCCAACTGTCTCCTTGACATTTCGCCTCATAAACATTTAACTCTACCTGGTGGTGTCCGGTGGGTGGTCCACCAAAGGGGTACCCCGGCAGTATGGCAATTGCAGAGGGAAGGGGGCTGAAGCCATTTTATTTACACACATTCCACAGATTTGAACTAGAAGAATAAGGATGTTGTTCATGGTCAGCCTGTTAGGATACCAATTACTGTCTGACTCCTAAAAGTTATATATGCGCTATACAGGTGTATCCAGCAGGGAAGCACAAGCACATTCTCTTTGGGGATGGCATTCTCAGGCTCTGTAACAAAGACTGCTTGAGATGGCCACCAAGTGGAAAACCGTGACCATAGATTATGGTGATACAGGTGTTAAGATTAGATTTGGATACTTGGATTTGACAGGAGGTTGACAACAGGACCAGAGATGCTAGGCTCTGCTGAAATAAGAGCAACTACACCCATGAGCCCCATGAGAGGCAATGGCCTTTGGTCTGACCCTCTCTCCTAGGAATGATCCAGTGTATCAGAAATACTCCATATGGTGGGTGACCCCACCCGCTGTCCTTGCTGAGACCACCTGGGGTAAGTGAAGTGAGCTCTGACTTCCCATCACCTAGATTACTCAGCTCCCACTTGCCCTTTCTGAGACGTGTCATCAAAGTACACATAGGCATGGAAGTCTTTTCACTAAATCTAAAAGGTTATGCATGCGTATGTTCCTCTTCCCTCTCAACTCGAGGGAACTATAATCTGATCCACAGCCTGTGACTTGAATGATGATCACATGCACCTGCCACCCACAAGTACTAAGCTGGCTCATCTCTGCCAAGTTCAGCGAGGTTCACAGTTTGTGATGGTGGATGTGCATTTATCATCATCTTGCCACTAGTCGTGTCTGTTAAGCCTAACATCTCTATTACTACTGAGTGGTGCCTCAGCTCAAATTTGCAATAATGAATCGAGTTTTCAAAAGGGGTCTATAAAAAAGAAAAGTAATGACAAAAGTAGTAGCAAACTTAACAGTTCAAAATAATAATATTTTGGTGAAAAAAAAACCATAATGTGGGGCGCCTGGTCAGCTCAGTCAGTTAAGCATCTGACTTTGGCTCAAGTCATGATTCTCGTGGTTTGTGAGTTCGAGAACTGCGTCAGGCTCTGTGCTGACAGCTTGGAGCCTGAAACCTATTTCAGATTCTCTATCTTCCTCTCTCTCTGCCCCTCCTCCCCCTCTCAAAAATAAATAAACATTAAAAAAATTTTTTAAACTCACAATGCAAATATACAACCAAGTTAGTATGTGCTGGTACAAGAGCACCTAAAAGAGTGATGGTATCATACAATTTGCCAAAATAGATCAAGTGCAAATGGAGGGGAAGATGATACATATCTCAGCGTAGACTCGACTGGTCTTACGTGCAGTGTGTTTGCCCCAGTTCTCAGTAAACAGACTGTCTGTCCCAAAACTTTCACAGTGTCTCAACAAAGAGTTGGCAATATTTTCAAAGTGGCCACTCTGGGTAAATCCAATATGGATTTTCCCAAACAAGCACATTAATCCCCTCTATAAACCTAATGAATGTTGTCATGAAAGTAAGGGAAGACCCTCAATTACAGAGGCATCATTCAAAACTGTTCTCAAAGGGAACAAAAAATAAATGTACAAATCACACGTTGAGAGCCTCCTGAAGCCAGCTGCAAGGTTGCTGAACCATATTATGTGCAGAGAGAAAGCAGGAGAATCTCCTGGCAGAACTCCTGCATCACATGACACAGCTGGCCACCAATCTAATAACAAAATACAATGGCAACAGAAAATCAAAGTCATACAATAGAAAATGACAATTGCTCTCCACAATATCTCCCAGGAAACAACCACTGAATGTAGTCTGCGAGTCAGCTCTTAGAATGGGGGCAGGGGGGCGGGGCGGGCAGAAGGGAGACCTGCCCTACGCTTTTGGTGTTTTGACAGGGGCAGAGCAGGTTGCTGCATGTTTGGAAGGCATGATGTAGACTTGGAAACGTGCTCTGAGGTCGCCCTACGGGAGTTCTAACCAGGCTCCCATCAGAGGAGCTCAGAGCTGCACCTGGCTACCGCCCCACACCCTGCTTTATTCCCGGGCAACAGTTGGCACAGGGCAACTGGGGGCCAAAGAGTCTCGTGCCAATGCTATTTCTGAAATCCCTGGCACGCTGAAAATGCAGGGATGCCAACATACAATTTTAAAGGATGTTGTTTTCAATATTTAACATAGGAACACTTTAAAGACTCAAAATATTATAATGCAATAGAGTGACACTATTCATCATACAATAAAATCGATCAAAGACACTAATTTCTGGTCCATCATAAGCAGCATGATCCAGCAGTGAGATACAGACTTGCCCAAATGATGAACACGTTCTACTTTCCACCTTGTGTCTCTGTGCCTTAACGCATGTCCTTTTTTGAGGATGATGTTGACAGTCTAAGTGTGAGGCTTGGGCCATGGCCTTCCCGTTCCGCCTGTCCCTCCACCCTCACCCCATGGCACTTAACACACTCAGGTGGACTTAACATCATAAGCCTCCTGATACTAATTCACTACTGAGTAAAAGAGAAAATGGGGAAATGACGACATTTTAGCTAAGTTTCCAGCACATGATGCACGGAGAAAGAGAACCACTTGCTGCAAGGAAATGTCTTAGACGGTCACAGAAAATGTCAAGGAAGGTAGTCTATGAGTTCGTGTGGCCAACTCACGTTGTCTATGTCAGCAACACATTCAATATTTTGAGCAGCTTCTCATTCTACAACTGGGATAAAAATAAACCCACATAGGTACCAAGATAATTTGATGGAGAAAGAATGGTATATTAGTTTGCTAGAGCTGCCATAAAAACAAATACAAAAACAACAACAACAAACAACCATAGCTGCCATAAAAAAAATACGAGAGCAGAAATGTACTTTCTCATAGTTCTGAGGTTTGGAAGTCTAAGATGAAGGTGCAGTAGGGTGCTCTGTTCTGAGTCCTCTCCCTCGCTTGCAAATAGCTCTCTTCTCACTGTATCTTCTCACCTATCATCATATGGCTTTTCCTCCGTGTACTCACATCACTGGTATCTTTTCATCTTCTTTTAAGAACACTAGTCACATTGGACCAAAGCTCACCCTAACACCATCATATTAATTAACTCAATCACATCTTTAAAGACCTAATCTCCAAATACAGATATATTTGGGGGTTAGGCCGTCAACATATGGATTTTGGTTAAGGGGGGTCAATTCAGTTCATAACAGATGGTCTTTTCAACAAATGGGACTGGGACTTTTGGATATACATGCGCAAATAATCATAATCATAATCAACTTAGACCCTTTCCTCACACCATAATTAACTTGCATAGATACTGAATCTAAATGTAAGATATTTAGGAGAAAAGTAAATCTAAAACTTCAAAGAAAGCATAAGAGAAAACCTACCTGATCTTGAGATACAACACGAAAAGCATCTTCCAGGAAAGAAGAAAATGAGTGATTGGACCCTGCACTAGACATCATTCTAAGCTCTGTACATATTCTCTCACATTTCTTTTTTTAATGTTTTATTTTTCTTTTTTTGAGAGACAGAGAGAGACACAGCATGAGTAGGGGAGGGGCAGACACAGACTCCAAAGCAGCTCCAGGCTCTGAGCTGTTAGCACAGAGCCCAACGTGGGGCTCAAACCCACAAATGCGAGATCATGACCTGAGCCGAAATCCGATGCTCAACTGGCTGAGCCACCCAGGCACCCCTCTCACATTTAATTCTTAGAACTACATTATGACATGGGTTTTCATGTCTACATTTTACAGATGAGAAAACTTAGGTTCACACAGGCCAAATAACTTGAACAAGGTCACGTGGTTAGAAGGTGCTAAAGTCTGAAAGCTTGAAATAAGCTAACAGCAATTTTCCTATTGGGCATATTACAGAACAGAATTAAAACCCCAGCCTAATATTTCAGTAGAATAAACATTTTCTAAAGCTAAATACAGCCAAATTACGGTGTGGGAGCCTGTTTATTATTACCTCCAAGTTAAAATATCCAAATTTCCATCTTCCAATTGTGGATGTTCCTTTAACATGGTCTTTATATAGCCTGAAGGGTGAAATCTCAGTGTCCAGCAATGTAGATATCTTGAAAATAATGTTAAAAAATTCTCTCTTGGGGAAGAAACCATTTTATTTTTCTCAATTTAAAATACAACCTTTCAGGAGTTATTTTAAAATTTGTGATTGGTCTTTTTTTTAAAAAATATGTGTTGTGTGTCAGTCATATAATGGATGGGAACCAGGCATTCGAGAAACACAGTTTCACATAATGAGAGATGTGAGCCCCAGAAAGAAGAGTACAAATGTTCGACAGACAGTAGGGAAGCCAAACCACACAGCACCAAACAGAGCAAAACAGAATGTCAGAGAGTAGAAGTGCCATGTGCTCATCACCTTCTAGAGTTTTCCTACCTAGAAAGAGAAACCAGAGCAGTCTTCACATGCTTCTACAAGAAACCAATTCTCCCAGGCCCAAGGTTAAAACTGAATTTAATATACTGCATCAGACCACCATCAAGAATAATCTATACACATTATGATGATGTCATCTGTAAATACCTATTAGTATCAATAGCTTTAAATTATGGGTTGGCATTCTGGTTTATGAGGAAGCTCCTTAAGATGTATTAAAAATCTGTTTACTCTTAGTATTGATTGTTTGATAAATATATTATCCAGAGAGGTTATACGCAGTGGTTTCCCTGGAAAAGCTGACATTTATTCAATGATATTTACTTTACTGAATTAAGTAGCAATATATGCTCATATATCTTGGCTATATCTGCAAAATTATCTTCTCAGAGTTAAAGTAAAAGAATATCTGTTTTATAGAAATATTAGGGCATGGTTTAATGCCATAAAGCTTAGGAAACACTCTAAGTGTGTAATATCTAGGAGTTATGGATTAATTCTTTCCCAGCTTTTATTCAAAACACAACAAAATTAAAGTGAATTCTCAAAACTTATTTTGGTCAATTAACTGGATTTTTTTTAATGGCCTTTGTTTAAAGAAAAAAAAAATCATCATTATCTTCAATTTAAGTAATTTTCTCTTGTCATAACTCACCAGGACTATGGCCTTTTGTTAAATGAAATCCTCTAAGGACAAGATTGACAGAGGCTGCAAGCAGATCACTAAATGTTCTCTTCTTCTTCCTCCGGGGCCGCCAACCAAATTCTACTCCCAGTTGTCCCTGCAGGTTGCAGAGACCACGTGATTTTGTTCTCTCTACTTCCGAACCTGGTCCACAGCAACATCTCATATCAATCCTCCACAGACTTTCCCCTTTGCCACCAAGATGTGCACTTGAGGGCAGTCTTGGAGAACACATACTGTAGAGGGCACAGTCCTCTGCAACAAGGATGTCTGTGTGGAAGGGCGTTCCCAACTTGAAGACTTCCAACATGGAACCACCCTAGACCGCTACATGAATGGAAAGCCAATGAAGGCACTGAAATTCGGGGATTTGTTTGTCCCAGTATCTAGTTTTTTGTAGTCTATGAATTTTTAGCAACAAAGAGCTTCATTTCCTTTAGAGAGCTCTTTAACCACAAATAAGGATCTAGATCACAGGACCTATTGAATTTAGATGTGTCCTATTGTCTGAACTCATTCATTAAGTCAATAGACATTTATGGAATAATCATTTCATTTGCTCTTACAAAGACTTACAAAGTAAGTGAAAATGTCTCCCACGAATGTAATTAATTACTTAGCTTGGAAGACAACCTATTTATAAATTGCATCTTCAAATTACAGAGAAAGCCAAATATTACAAAAATATGATAAATTACTAGCGCCTTAAAGAACAATGCTTTTGGTCACAATTGTTTTCTTTTTTTTTGTTATTATTATTATTCGGTTGGTTGGTGATTTGTTTTCTGTGTTTATTTGTTGTGAACCAATTTTCATTTCTATTTTTTAAGGGTGAGCAGCTACTCCTATGAATTCCCTCGGGGTGTTATCTTTCTTTTTTTTATTAATGAACTGGAAGAAAGTTCATCAAGTTAGAAAGTACTGGTCGTAGAACTTGAAAACCAGTAATTTACCTCATTATTAGTAGAAATAGCAAGAAAGGCAGGAAATGCAACAAATGGCGACTCTAAAGGGCTTCACGAGAATTAGTATTTTTGAAAGGTTTTGCTGAATTTGTCAGGAATGAAGTCTTAATGATCTCTTCTTTGACCTACCTGAACTGAATGGGTAAGTTAATTAAGGAAGAAAGGGGGAAAATCACTTAAATCAGAAGGCCCCTTGAAATCAAGACTGTTCCAAAATTCCTCTCCTGGGGTGAGTGGGTATGTAGAGGCAAATGAGGATAGCCTCTCTCTACGCTGACCTCAGAAAATCTGGGACCAAAGTTTACCCTGCTGGCTGAAAAAAGATCTGACCTCTGGGATTTACTCTGAATCAAAACACGGGGCAGGCTGTGGTGTGAAAGGATCACAGAGGATTTAAATCTGCTCCCTTGGAGCCCTGGGGGCTTTCTGCTCTTTGCTTTGCTGTGGACATGTCATTAAAGGCCACTGGGGAAGGTCACTAATGATAAAGATCTTATGAAATCCAAGAATAAATAAAAACTCTTAACCGGGCCAAAGGAGGGGAGGAAGAGAAGCAGAGGGCGTATTCATTAGCTCATTTGCAAAACCTGACCCAGCATCTTAAGTAGAGAAGTGTAGCAATGTCACCTGGGGCAAGAAGCAGCCCATCCAATTAAAAGAGCAAAGAATTACAGGTCTCCATCTGCTGGAGGACTTAAGGAATTACCCAAACTAGAGACTGTGACTTGGCTTTCTAATGCTTCTTGAAAATCTTATCAAACAAATTAAGTAAGAAAAGAAAACAGGACCCTGTGGCAAGCTCAAGAAAGTGCGACTGGTCCTACCAATCACAACTATATACTTCTGTTACTTAAAGGTTGAAATGACACAACATGCCACTTCTCTGTTCAGTGGCAGGGTAAACAATGTATGAGCCAAATGCAGGCATTGCATACAGACATTATCTCAGTGAGCGGCTGGGTGAAGGCAGCCTCTCCCTTCATACAATTCTATTGGAGGAAAAAGGCTGTACCTCCAACCTCCTGCAGGCAGCTATGGATGCCAGCTCCCACAAGTGGGCAGATGGCCACTTCCGGCTCTTGATTACATCTATCAAATCTTCTTAGGAAGCCTTGTTGAAGTGTGCCAGCCTGCGGGGGACTCCAAATTAACAGGGACTTTCTAACGTAAGTCCCAGGCTTCAGAAGTCACCATAACAGGCAGGCCATTGGTAGATGAAATTCATCCTTATTGAGTCTGCCACTTCCTAATTTTAATTTTCTTTTCTTTCAGCCAGTGCTTTATTCTATTTTAATACTTGGTCTGTCGAGTAAAACATCGCCTCCTTGCTCTTACATCATCCGTGACTGTCTTGATCTTCTAGGATACAAAACCAGTGCCTGCCCACAGCAGGTGCTTCATGAGTATTTACTGAAAGAGAAAAGGTCCTAGAAAGAGCTAGAAATGTCATTTGTCTTCTTCCTCGAGCTTAAATATTAACTATCTAGAATAGCTGGATCTATAGAGATCACCGAATTCCCCTGATAACTCTTCCCAGGTTGTGTTAACATTAAACTCAGAAAACACTGATCCATCATGCCTTTTAAATATTAGCAAATGCGGTCAGAACTCATATCTTTGGAAATAAATGTGTTATCTTACATAAATGTGGGTATGGATATCAGGGAGATATGTGACGGGTAGGTTCACCTGCAGGACTTGTTATCAATTCATATGTAGTTTCTATCAAATATAATATCCAAATCTCCCTGAATAATGTTCAGCCATCCTGATATTTTGTCACTGCACATTTCATAATAAAAGGAGCTGAGATTATTTTATCATGACAGTAAATAGGACTGTTCCACAGTTAAGAATCTCAGAAGTAGCCAAAAAAAAAAAAAAAAAAAAAAACAAACCTCTCAGAAGTAGCATTACCAATGATTTTATACAATTTCCCTACATACAGTTAAGTTTAAAGAATTCACTTCACCCAACCTTCTGCTGTCCAGAAAGCCTCCACTCACTTTCAAATATATGAATATTAATCCTACTTTCAAATTTTTCTAGAGCATCACATTTCAGAAACCAGACCTTCAGAGAACTTGTAGGATTCACAGTTATGTGGCTTTGTACAATGTCATGGGGGGGGGCATTATTTTATTTTAAATGGGTATTCATTAATATAACGAATAAATGCCTTGCAGTAATAGGGACAAAGTACTTAAACTGTCTTTATTCAAAAAGAAAAAATGAGTTCTAACACTCAGAAAGATCTTTTTGGCAATATTTCCAGAATCTATTAGCCTTCTTTTGTTCTCCCAGAGTCCTCTGGGCCTTTAATTGTAAATTGCCAAGGTAGGCATTTCACTTAAGATGGTCTAGGCCAGCAGTTCTCAAAGTGTCTTCCAGGTTACCCGGAAATCCCTGAGACCCTTCCAGGGACCCCACAAGGTCAAAACGACTTTCACGATAATAATATGACATTACTTGACTTTACTGTCCCCGTTTCATTCTCAATTACTAACAGATGTCCATCACTGCTCTGATGGCTAACGGAATGTATGTTTATGCACGGCTGTCGAAATTTCTCAGTTTTAATTTCTAATCCAGAAAGTATAAATAGATAATACCCACATGAACAAAACCTCTTTAAATGCGTCACATGCTCTTTTAAGAGTGTAAAGGGGCCCTGAGACCAAAGAGGTTGGAAACCACTCAACATAGGACTCCAGAATCTCAGTGGCAAAACACAAGGAAGTTTCTGTCTCCCTGGGGTGCAGGCCCCCTGCAATCAGCTGAGGGAGCGTGTGCGCTTAGGTGGTGAGGAGAAGTCACTGCTACATTTCCTCCCTCAGGCATCCAGGCTAAAAAGCATCCCAATGCTTCCACGATTAGCAAGGCAGGAAAAAGGGAAGCGAGCATGGGGAATCTCATACTCACTGCTGAAGCTCAGCCTGAAAGTGACATGTGTCACTTCGACTTACATTTCACGAGCCAAATCAGGTGTAGCCACATCTAAATCAAAGGGGACGGAAACACAATCCTCCCATGTTTTTAGAAGGTGAAAGCCCAAAGCAGATATTCAACAACACTACTAACTACCACAAGGGCTATCTCTTCGGGCTGCTCATACCTTCCCAGCATCTTTTCCTGAAATGATTCAGCCTCGTAACCATGTACTGATGGGGCCTCATGAAACATATGGAGGAAGTGTATTTAAATACGACACATACAAGGTCACATATTCAAGATTTTCTTTCAAGACAACTGAGAAACCTCAAATCTAAACAAAACATATTATGGTACACTTTCCTAAGCTGGTATATAGTGTTACTGTGTAAAACAGGCTTTCTAAAAGTCTTTGTTTGACCGGATGTGTAAGACCAATTATTTATAAGAATTGGTGCCACTAAGAAATGCCCAACACCTTTTCATATGAGCAAGACCCGGATCAATTCAAATAAATTAACATTCCTGTCTGAACTGACTCACCCAGCCCAAGTAACAAATCCGCATGTCAATGGTGGGCTGACCCAGTGACCCATCTGCCGAAAAATACAAACTGTATCATTTTGTTTTCCAAATAACAAGCACTGATTGCAGTGTTAGAAAGGTCACTTGTCATCAGCTCAGTCATTGACCTGCTGGCAAATTGCAGCCTGTCACTCCACAGTGAGCCAGGACCATCAGGAGGAACTAAGGCACGTTGTGTTTATAAAGCACAATTGGGGAGGTGACTCCATTTCCACAAGATGTGTGTTTAACAGGATGAGCATCACAGTCAACGGAGATGGAAAGAGAAAAGAGCATGAAAAGGAATGGCTAGAGAGATATTTCATAATCCCCCAACAGGACTACCAGAAACCTCACTGATGTCTATCTGCTTTAAAATGCACTGAATCAAACCCAGCCTATGTCTCCAAGTCTGATGCTAAGGATTTCAATCTTTTGTTCCCTTTCTATGGGTAAACAGAAATAGTACATACAAAAGATGTCTCTTTCAAGTTCCCTAAAAGGAACCAGGGAAAATAAAATTAAGAAACAAACCCCTATCAGACAACCTAAAGCATATGAACAAGGATGGGCCATGTGAAAAACACATTTCCAGCGACATCCTCTCTATAAGACTACTGCTATAGTCACGTGCTACCCCCACATACCTGATTCAGACATTATCAGTTGTCTCAATTTGTCCGCCCACCAGAGAGAGGTATCATGATTGTCCAGCTGACAATGAATTAAATAGCCATATTTATTTCCCTTTCAACCATTAAGCTTTTAAATATCACTTTAAGATATAATTTATCACAATCTCCTAGAATAAAGTATCAGCCAACTATGCATTAAAGGCCACTTATTTAAAATAATGATCTGCACAATCATTTCATGGAGTCTGCCAAGAAATGCTGTAAGATTTTTTCTGTATTCAGCCCTATATTATGGACAGGATACAAATGAATGCAGGCATGTATCCAAAAATAAAATTAATAATTCCTTGTGCATCTTCTTGCAAAGTTTCAGTTAGCCACCAAAATATCCACCAATAGGATAAAGATCGTTATACTTGGTACACTCACTGAGGCATAAGACCACAGCGTAGAGCATGTGTCCTATTTTAGAGAGTCCTAAAATTACTTCCCTGAAGTTAGTCATTCTCAATCAGCGCTCTCCAATAAAGACCAAGGAATCATCCTGATAAGCTCCGA